CACAATATGGGGTGATCCTCACTACGTTACATTTGATGGTAAGAGATACGACTTCCAGGGTGTTTGCGAGTATACTTTGGTCACAGATTGCCTGCTGCCCAATAGTCACTCAAGTTACCACCTAAAAGGACATAACTTTAAACGTAATCCATCTGATAATGTTTCCCGCCTACGTCATATATCATTAGACTACAGGAACCATACATACACTTTAGGAGACAATGGTGATGTGCTATTCGACGGCGTACATGTGACACCACCTCTTCACATCGATGATGTGTATGCTGTTAGTAGTGGGGTGTACACTGTAAGTATAAACATATATCTTGTTTTTCAATCTTTGTCAGTTTCCATTTGTTACGTGTCAATTCACACCATTATTTCGCTTGCTGTAAAGTATTAATGTCTGTCGCATAATTTATTAATTTAGGCTATATGGACGTTATTTGGTCTGGTCGTTCGTTGGGATGGAAAGCATGCCGTTGAGATTCAACTGCCATACAAGTATCAGAACTCAACTTGTGGACTATGCGGCAACTACAATGGCGACCCGGAAGATGATATTGCTTATACCCGCAATGGATCGATGGTGAGCTTAAATTTTTAGATTTTTTGATGGCATATTCATCGATGCATAATCTTTTTTTCAAGTGACACACGCAGCTTTCAGTTCGAATTACCTCATTACAGATGAAAGTTTGTGAGAAACAAATACAATGTGGGCTTCACTATCTTCTACAATTTAAAACTGTGTTTTTTACTACTACTTTTCCTTCATCATCTGTGTTCTAGGCTAAAGATATAGTTGATTTCGGCAACAGTTGGGTGGTTGACTCTTTAGTCTGTGATGACTCTGGAGTTATTATCGTTGATCCATGTTCAAGCGATTCTGATACCTTTGAAGAAGCTCAAGACCTTTGTTATGCTTTGATATCATCTGATACGTCATTGTCATCTTGTCGCGATTATCTGAACGAAACAGCTTACTACGAGGCATGTGTATATGACATGTGTGCTAGTTTACCAAATGAGGACCTACTGTGCGACAGCTTTGAGGAATATGCGCAGGCGTGTAGAGAACGCGGAGGAGAGCCTGGTGACTGGAGACAAGCTCGATGTCGTAAGTAATGACTCCAATGACTCGGATAGTCCTAATTTAAGTAATATTAATTATGCTGTTTTAAACACAAGTTGCATGACGCTACCTGTAGTAAAACGCATGAAACCAGTGTAGTTGCCGTAAATGTCAATAGTAAATAACACAATTGTCTTGCGGTATCGCCCTTCATCATTGACTACATGATGAAGTGACGCATGAAGACGTTTGTGTTTCACAATTAAATGCTTTAGCAACTACCTACTATTGCTTCTTAAGTTTTTGCTATTATTTTATTTTCACCGAACATTAT